TATAAACTTAAATATTTATTATCAATTTTACGGGAATTTCTGTCAGTCCGCGAGAGAATATAGTGGTCAACAATATGCGGTCAACAAAAGTGACATGTCATGCAAACAAAGTTTTGATTAATAAATCAATAAATATTTTATATATTAATAAGAAGTATTTTGAAAACAAATTTTTACAGAAAATTCACAAAATTGAACATTGTACAAACCAGGTTATTTTCACAAGATTGACGTGCTGGTAGTATATAAATAAACTTATTCTTGCGCTGTCATGCTAATGAACAGAGCAGTTTTCCCGCGTTAGTGATGAATCGTTCAACACAGCGAACACTGCTTATGTTGGTTAAAAAAAAAACAAAAACAAAAAAACGAGAAGTTTGCAGTAAAGAAGGTCGAAGTAAATCAATTACTAATATCAAACGGAAAAAAAGAGCTGTACCAGTTGAGAAAAACAATTTTGAAATTAAAGTTCTTATTTCTTGTGCAAGCAATAAAAGATTTCGATTGCTGCTGAATTATTTTGCGGTAGACAATAATTTAAACCATGGCTAAAAACGCCATAATGTATTGGCATGTGGAAATCGCATGTTTATTTAGTGACATTAAATGTATTGGTTGATATTACATGAACGTATCAGTGATTCTGATGTCTAAGGATAATGTTTTGTAGTTTTTAAAATTTTATGACCTTAATGCATCGAAAACATAACTGACTTTTAAGTAGGCTTAAAGGGTTAGATTTTTTCAGCACCGGACAACTTTGTGCTCCATTTTCTTTTCAGATTAACCTAAAAATGCTTGCGACAGAAGCCAAGATAAATTAAAATTTATATATATATATATATATATATATATATATATATATATATATATATATATATATATATATATATATATATATATATATATATATATATATATATATATATATATATATATATATATATATAACACTGTTGAGAATTTCTGTCTTCCACAATCTAGATCTGTTTCAAAGCAAGCTTTAAATACAGTAAAGGTCACTTAAGTGTTTTCCTTTACTATTTCCAGCTGTGTCTTGCTATCAGATGCTTATCATGTGTTAAAGTGAATTAATAGTACTGAATGCAATTAATAAATAAAGAAAAAAAAGAGTGGTGTGTTATATATAGATTTAATGTGAAATGCATATTTACAAATGTGAAGAGATTAAGAAATCGAATTAATTCAAAAGTAGATAGGTCATGTTAACAGTTAGTATATACATGTAATGCCATTGTGATGAATTTAAAGTCTTCAGTCAAAAAGCCGAAAGCATTGAATTTTTAAACGTGTATATATGTATCAATGAAAGTCAAGAAGTTGAATTGTAAGAGAAATGGAATATAAAATGTGCATATCAATTAAAGTCAAGTAGTTATGTTTCAAGAGTGACTAAACCAAACAAAATGACATATAAAATGCTCATTTCAGTTAAAAGTCAAGAAGTTGAATTTCAAGAGTAGCTAAATCAAGCATGTCAAGTGAATCAAAATATTTATTGTGCATATCAATGATCATAAAGGACAGGGGTTGAATTTTAAGAGTGGCTAAATCAAGAGAATTGAAATATCATATGTGCATGTAAATTCTGAGAGACAAGAAGTTGAATTTTAATAGTAACTAAATCAACAAAATTGAATTATGTAGTATATATATAAATGAAAGTAAAAGATATGAATTTTAAGATGGCTTTATAACGAGAATTGGAACATGTTGATGTTCATTGTCAAATGTCAAATTATTTCTCAATTTACATGTAATAAAGCAGTGAAAATATTCAATGAGCATGTTAATGATATAATTCAATTTGCGCTATTTGTAAAAAATAATTCCCTACTTGTAATACTTTTGTAGGTTGGGCCTCTTAGTTTGAGATATGTGTGTAAAAAGCTTTTTATGCCCCCGGATCGAAAGATCCCGGGGGTATATTGTTTTTGTCCTGTCTGTCTGTTTGTCTGTTTATCTGTTTGTCTGTTTATCTGTTTGTCTGTCTGTCTGTTGTCAACTTTAACCTTGCCCATAACTTTTGATTGGTTGGAGCTATGACTTTCATATTTCACATGTGTATTCCTTGTGACAAGACCTTTCTTTGGATACTATCATATTTGACCTTTTGACCTTGACTTTGGAGTTTGACCCACTTTTGCAAAATTTTATGAGACTTTAACCTTGGCCATAACTTCTGAACAGTCGATGCTTGGGGTTTCAAACTTAACATGTGTATTCTTTGTGACAAGACCTTCCTTTGGATACCAACAACTTTGACCTTTTGACCTTGCCCTTGGAGTTTGACCTACTTTTAAAAAACTTTAACCTTGGCAATAACTTTTCAACAGTTGGTGCTTCGGGTTTCAAACTTCACATGTGTATTCCTTGTGACAAGACCTTCCTCTGGGTATCACCTCGTTGACCCTTTGACCTTGACCTAGGAGTTTGACCTACTTTTGAAAAACATTAACTTTGGCCATAACTTTTGAATGGTTGGTGCTTGGGCTTTCATACTTTACATATGTAATCCTTGTGACAAGACTTTCCTTTGGATACCAACCACTTTGACCTTTTGACCTTGACCTAGGAGTTTGACCTACTTTTGAAAAACTTTAACCTTGGCCATAACTTTTGAATGGTTGGTGCTTGGGCTTTCATACTTTACATATGTAATCCTTGTGACAAGACTTTCCTTTGGATACCAACAACTTTGACTTTGACCTTGATGTTTTACTTACTTTTAAAAAACTTTAATCTTCGCCATAACTTTTGAACAGTTGCAGCTAGGGCTTTCAAATTTAACATTTTTTTATCTTTTGGCCTGGATTTTGACTTGCATTTGAAAAACTTTAACCTTCGCCATAAGCTGCCATACGGGGGCATCAGTGTTTCACAAACACATTTGGTTTTTTTTTTTGTCTATTTAGAAGTTGTTTTAGTTATGTAATATGATTTAACAATAGTTGTGCCATTTTTCCCTATTTGAAATTCCTAGTCACTTGATATATAATATTTCTGTCAAAAGATATCGAGTGTCCAAAAACTGTTACCGGTAGTTTTAATGAACATATTCTGTGCTCTGTGACCATTTCAATGATGGAATTATTTAATATTTTGTAATTAATCAAATAACTTTAAATGCAAGCTACATTGTCATTTTCTAGTATTTTTTTTTTTTCTTCTATGTTTAAAGGTTCTATTTGTGATGAATTTTTATACATTTAAGTAGATATTTAAAGAAAAAAATATATACGTGTTACAAAATACATGATAGAAAAGGCTGAAATAAAATGATATAATTTTATTTCTCAAAGAAATCAAAAAGAAAAGATTTTAAAGTGATAGTTTTCATCATTGCACATAATATCACATAATCCAAATATGGATTAGAGACCTCAACTCATTTAAACATTATATTAATCAATACCATCAACTTGTAGCAGTACTTTCAGCACTTTGATTAAGTTGGTCACTACTACAGAACATGTCAGCCTTGAAGGTTTTGATTGCAGAAAAAAAAAAACCTCATATGCAATAATGCATATATCAACTGAAGATCATGAATAAGTATCAGTTAGCTGGAACTAAATTAATAATAAATACTAATAGGTATCAGTTAGCTGGAACTAAATTAATAATAAATACTAATAGGTATCAGTTAGCTGGAACTAAATTAATAATAAATACTAATAGGTATCAGTTAGCTGGAACTAAATTAATAATAAATACTAATAGGTATCAGTTAGCTGGAACTAAATTAATAATAAATACTAATAGGCATCAGTTAGCTGGAACTAAATTAATAATAAATACTAATAGGTATCAGTTAGCTGGAACTAAATTAATAATAAATACTAATAGTTAATTGCTGATCCCTTTCTTCGTTTAATGTACAAAACATCCGATAGGTAATAAAGAACTCTCAATTTTAGTTTTGTTATTTAAAACATGACTATAAGTGTCCTATAATTGCGTCAGGATCCTTGATGTTTTGAATATAAACAACAGTTATATACAGCAACATAACGATATAGCTTTACATAATAAAGAGGACACGAAGCTTCAATGCTTCCAGTTTAAGATTTTACATCAAATAGTTTCTACAAATAGCAAACGTATGGAATGCAAATTAGCTAAAACAGAACTTGAGATCACGGTAACTACTACAACTTTTCTGCGCACGCGTAAAATAAGGATGAAGAAATGAAGCAATATTTTCATCTTGGGTCATACATTTTTTTTCTCTCTATAAAAGAAGATCTTTTTAGTTTCCGAAACCTGTACATTTCTGAAACCCAAAACTTTCAGGAATTGAGCAAAATTATGCAAAAAATCTATGTTTGACAATTTTCTCGTTTGTGCGTCACGGTGTCTCTTTAATATCAGAAACCAGTGAATTTTTTTTTTTTTGGAACACTAGGATAACAGTTACATGTCAAATACAGACAGGGATAATTTATTACGCAAGATCCCTAAAAGGGAAATTGCATGCATAGTATCACTTTTTTTCATTCAAAATGGGTGGCACCGCCTTAAAATGTGTCTGTCTATTTTGTTTTTCAGCCCGTGTTAGATGAGAAAAAAACCTTTTGGAATTTTAAAGTATTAGATTTGCAAGTCAAAAACACTGCTATAAATCTCACAAATGAAAACATTTTGAAATATCTAAATTCCTTCTTAATACTCGTTAATATATACCAATGTTATATGATAAAAGACATCTGGATGAGTGTTTTCTCAAATTATCTGCATGGTTATGCTGGGGAAAGTGTCACATTCTCTCCGACGACTGATACAATTTACACCTTTACGGAAATAGATGACTACATTTGTAAAAAGAATACAAAAACAAAAAATCTTAAGTAACTGTTATACATGTTTTACCCTTACCTATAAGGGAGGCTGGAAATATTATTGAGGCTTTTTCTAAAACAATTATAAAATGAATTTATTCATAAAAATGAAATACTTAATATAATAAAATGCTGAAATTTGAAATATTATACATATATAATTATGAACGATTGATTATAGAAAAAAGAGAGGAGGAAAGATAAATACATTCATAAAGATGCCATGTAAGAGAGCCAGAAATCTATGGTGGAGTACCTAAAACTCTGGGAATACACAACTAATCTTCCTTCCAACTTAGAATAATTGCACATAAAACATAATACTTGTCCAATTCAGAAATATTGTTTTAGTTTCTGTTCATTAAAAACTATGTTTAACAATTTACATTCATTACTCTCCTGTTTGAAAAAAATGCAACCTTTCGTGCATGTATAACACTGAAGTCATAATCAAACTCAAACTAAGAATTGAAAGTGTGGATGTGTTCTCCAACTTAGAATTAACTACTTTATTCAAATTATTACATAATCATTAAAACACTTTTCTGAAATACAAACCTACATACTATCAAACGGATATATTTCATTGTAAAAGCTGAATAATTGCAACATTTATCATTTTCTGTTATGTGTGTTATGAAGACAGATGCCGATCTAATTTAGATGTTCAGAAAGAGGATTAATATATTGTATTATGTGTGCATGTATTAAGGTGAATGAAACCGGCTTTTTCCATACTTCTATGGTTCCTGTGCAGTGTTGTATTATACTCAGGTGACCGTTAAGGCCTTTGGGTCTCTTGTTTAATTACTTTACTATGTACATTTTATTTTAAAAGCTCCACAAATTCACCCATATATCCGTGCATGAAACGAAATTTGTCGAGATAACAAACAGTATTCCAGCTCAAAAGTCCATTAAACATTACAAAATACGAGCAGAACAAACACGGACCTCTAAGACATCAGAGGTGGGATCAGGTGCCATGGAGGAGTGAGCATCCCTGCCGATCGGTCACAAGCGCCGTGTACTCCTTGTCATCATCGGGAAATAACGGAAACATCTGTCGACAATTCAGTGTGCAAATATTGGCCTAACAATTAGTATGAAAAAAAGTTAGTCAGCATTTGACATAATGAAAGATTTTATTTGCTGACAAGGTCATTGTATCGACCATAGAACTTGCAAAATGATGACTTTAAACGAGACTGCTGATATTCTTGTGTCTTCAACTTGTTTGTCAATAACTTGCCTCGTTTTAAAAATACTTCGCACGTAGAGCATGCTCTGGCGTATCGAATCAACTGGGAGACATAAACGCCATATGCAGGTAATAATTATATTACTACATAAGTAAGGGAAGTTGACGATAGAAAAGTTAAAGACATCACGTTTATCATAAAATTTTGTTGTTAGGTTACCATTAACGTCTTCTTTCTAGTAAAATATCCAAATATGAAACAGATGTGTCAGACTCTGTGGTATCTTTTATTTCAAGTTCACTGGGATATATCGAGTCAACATATGAATGGAAGTAACTATTGTTAATTGTTATTACGTCGTCGATATATCTAAATGTCGAGTTGAAGGGCTCTGCAAGTGCTTTCTTCTTCTCATGTATATCTTGTGGTTGGAATTATTGTTAATATCTATGTCTCCTTCTCTACGTGTTATTAAAAGCAAAAAGTAGAAAGGTTGCACTTATTCAATGGTTCATGTTGTAAACATATGAAACGTTACACTTTTCTGTGCTACACGTATCAATGTACAACCATGCATGTATAAAAAGCAGGATTCCTGTGATTTACAATCTAATAAATAAAACATGTCACAATGAGTAAAATAATGATTTTTTTGTGTTTCTATCAGACTCGGAAATGCAGGTGAGGAGGCACTCCATTGCTTCCTTCTACTGAGTCCTGGTTTGCTTCATGTTTCCACTCCTCTGGCACAAGTTCAACTCTGCTCTGACTAATTCCTCTTTCTCTCATTTTTTTCCTAATAAAAATAAAATAAGATGCAAGGATCTTATTTTTCAGGACTATTTGCCCGATGAGAGTCATATCAATATGCAAATATAAAAATTTGGTAAAGATTTTTATTTTTTTTTTTAAATTGTTGTCTATAGAAAAATTAAGTTTTTGTTTCATAGTCCCCAGGGGCCATGTCAGTCATAATAAGTGAGCAAGTTTTAATATATATATATAAAAAAGAATTCACAACAACGGCTAGCTAAAGCAACAAAGCATATGCAATGAATTCAAATTAAGCAACAGTATATTTATATTATCAAAGTAGTTATTTTAAATCTCAAACAATATATACATTAAGCTTGTAAATCTAGAATTTTGAACAAAACTTGTTTTCCCATCTCTTCCTTACTCACCGAATGAATTTATATGTAGAGTGGCCAACTAAAGAAAAAAGAACAAGGCAGAGAACAACTACTATAGCTGTCAAAACCGTGTTTCTTCTCTTCAAATCTGCAAAAAAAAACTACATTAAACAGAAATGAATACTCCTGATCAATAACATTAGTACTGTAATGCATTACATTCGGCTGTGTATTCTATTTTGCATCTTTGGTGAAACGCAGTCCCGCTTAATCAAGTACACCTCTCTCTCTCTCTCTCTCTCTCTCTCTCTCTCTCTCTCTCTCTCTCTATATATATATATATATATATATATATATATATATATATATATGCATACAATATAAATTTTGTAATGGTGCAGGATGAATTTCAAGTGCAAACATACGCAGTAGAACCTAAACGTAAACAATATCAGAGCTTGTGATCATGTTAATAAACACGTGTGTTTGTTGTAATAATGCTATGAAAAATTTTCATATTTGTTCAATTTAATAAAATCTAGTTATTTTTTAGATACATAAAAATTTGTAAACGAACTGCAACTGTGTCCAAGCCCCTTTTAAGTTGCAGTTCCTGGGTCTGACAGATTTGCTTTAGATTAAGACAGTCAGGATACTCTATGACCCTCAAAGCTCTTGAACTGGACCTCTTGTTACTAAGCATTCAGATTCATAGTATGTAAATTACAATGCAAGAAAGCATATTATAAATGACAGTGACTTAAGAATTTCTTGAATACCATTTAAAACGATATTGTCAAAAATTTACTAAACTCTTGGTGTATAATTTAGTCTTTACTAAACAGTTCTAATAGATGTAATTAGAATATTAAGTCCGCCGAAAACCAGCATTATACATGTATATAACAAGTAAAATTGATGCAAAACATCAAATCGGCCTCAAACAAAGTTTAGCATTTCAAAAAGTACTTTCACAACTCTGAAAGGTGCGGTGCAAAATGTAGAAAAAAATATCCTTGTGTCATTCGCAGCTGTAGCATATTCAAAACAACTTTTACTAGTTGAATAACTTAATATTTTTAATTTTTATTCATCATGCACTTTTACCACTTAATTATTAGCCGGAAAATCATAACAATTTGCTTTCTTATCTTACACACTCCCAGGTTGGGGAGTACCTATTGTAAACTCTTTTTATATAATCATAAATTAATAATCATCTGATGAGAAATGATAATGAAATTGAAACATTAGAACAGCAATTAAGACCTAGTGTAAAGTTTTTAAAATATTAAATACTCATGATTTTATACGTGTTATCATTTAAGTATTATTTTACTGAACTAATAAATAAATAACGTCTCATTTCCCCATGTGCACTTTCTAACACAACCACAAATAGGTCGGCCGCTGCTGCAGTCGATAATAACTCTCCACATGGTCGCCCGCGTGGCGCAGTGGTTAGAGCGTCTGCTCTAGCTAGAGTCGCGGAGTAAGGAGTTGATCCTTACGTCGCGTGTTCGAATCCCACTGTGGGACGTGGAGACCGGTCCTTCGGATGAGACCGTATAAACCGAGGTCCCCTGTCGCAGTAGGTACTGGCACGAAAAAGATCCCTTACTGCTCAATGGCCGTAAGTGCCGAGTATAGGACAAAATTTGCAGCTCTCCACCGGCAAGTGGTGGCGTCTCCATATGAGTGAAAAATTCTCGAGAGGGACGTTATACAACATACAAACAAACAAACAAACAAACACTCCACATGTGCTAAATACAATGTATGACTTGTCATGCGACTTTAATACAAACTTGGAGTAACTCTAAAACTTTGAGCGTGATCGATGCCAACAAATTTCTTTTGAGAAAAAAAAAAATGAACAAATTAAAAATGGGGGAGGGCGGGACACTTTGAGGGGGACGTGCGGATCCATAGGGAGTTATCATGGTATAAAATTTCATTGCAAAAGCTCAGAAGTTTCTTGAGATATCGCCCGGAAACAAAGGTGCTACACACAGACAGAATGTATGAATTTACAACATTGACCTTTGACCATTTTTTACATCAATATTATCAATATCAATATGGTCTTCCTTAGGCACCAGGATGTTGTTTTGTCAGATTTCATTGCAAAAGCTTTAAGATTTCTCGAGATACTTGTATCATGCAGACATGAAAGTGTTAAATCAGACATAATTTATGAATTTATGACTTTGACCTCTGATCTTTTGACCCCAAAATCAATAGGCTTCTTCTTTAAGCCATTGGGAATAGTTAGGTAAAATTTCACTGCGAAAGCTCAAAGGCTTCTTGAGATATCGCGCAAAAACAAGTGTTGCAGACAGACAGAAATACAGCTAGACGGACGGACAGACAGACCGAAATTAATATCCCAAATTTCAGTGAAATGTCATTATACATTCATTTTTGTTCTCATAGAATACCTTTACATTCTTTGCTTGGAACATTTTCCTTATCAATGTTTTTATCTGTTGTCTGTGATGTAAGAATTGTTGTTGATGGCAATGTCGTTGATGTTGATGTCGTCGTCTCTGTTGTCGTTGAAGTTGATGTCGTCGTCTGTGTTGTTGTTGATGTTGTTGTTGAAGTTGTCGTCGGATATTCACATGTTCCATTCGTTCCTGAATAATAGAATCAAGGAATTGAATGCATTGCCTACACTGGGAATGGTACAACTTTCTAAATCATCGAATTCCAAGTGTAAATGAACGGAAGAATTAAAAATGAACTTAATATATAATTATTATTGTGTAGGTAATATTTCTGAAAATTCAACACGTGACATTTTGTAATAAAAAATAAATATTTGCTCTACCGAAGCAGAATCTTTCAGGACAGGCGTCCAGTGCCGGTAAACAGTACACATAATAGGTGCCGCAGTTCTTTATCTGAACATCATATTCTTTAACACAGCAACTAGAGAAGCCGGTCTTACATAGTTTCCCGGAAACAACACCATCAGCTACTTGTGGTAAGGTTCCTGAAAGTTAAAGTCAATTTCTGCTTTGACAAATACGTATTCACTTTTACAGGCTTTATGAGACAGAAAAAAAGACTTGTTAAGTTTGATTTGCATTGATTCAGATAAACAAGCTAAGGAACAAAATATTATAGTAAACAAAAAGCAATGATATATCTAATAAGTAAAAAAGGTACTTTGAAGTAAAATATAGTAGTATACCATTAAACCAGACTGGATAAATCGCACCACAGCTGCTGAGGGTGGGACACTGGTCCAGTATAGGTTCGTCTGATTTGTACCACCCTGGTGTCTTGTATCTGTCACACGGTGCATGTGGTTGTGTCCCGTCATATGGACAATTTTGTGTTCGAGCATACGGCTCAAAAAGAACTCCAGCTACAGTACATGGATCTTTAAAAAGAAAATTAAGCATCTTTGCAATTTTTGACCTACAAGCTTTTTTTATTCTTTATTACTTAAAATAATCAATATTGATTGATTAGACGATTTTGAAATCGTACCTCAAATTAAATTGTTTTTCAAATGCAATAAAATAAAAGATTGAAAAGAATTAAACGCTTTTTATATTTTGTTTTATATCTTTTTTTTTTAATAATTTAAAAGTTTTTTTTTTTTTTTTTTTTTTTTTTTTTTTTTTTTTTTTGCTGTTGGTTTCACTCTTCTTCTTGAATCACTTCTCATTCCTCACCTACACATTTTACTTTCTGAATCATGCTTGTAATTTTTTTATTATCGAGTAATTCTTAAAAAGACATTCCATTCTGTAATGAAAATAAGATTATGAGACCTAAACAAATGTACAGCCATTGATAATCCTCTTTAAAACTGAAACCGTGTATTCAAGCTCTTAAACGCACCGAGACTTCGTGAGTATTTTGTTGATTGTTAGTAGATCTACATGTTTTTAGCTACTTAAACTCTTTCTATTAGATTTATGAATAATACAAATAATTGATAATCACGATGATGCACATCGCATTCCATGCTTTAACTAGAGGTCCTGTGAGCACTGAGCTCACAAAATGATAACCCGCCTCCCATAAAATGGCTATGTTTTGCTCTGGGAGACAAGAAAAAAGTGTCAGATCAAAAAGTAAAATAGAAGGTCACCATGGCAAAATGTAATAAAGAATCTGTGAAAGTATCATTAATTTTTATTCAGTCGTATTGAAGGAGTTGCGGATAAGAGATTGGAAGCCTTCAATATTATAGAAAGAATGGCAGTGCCCATGTTTTGCTATGGGAAACCCTAAATATGTGTCCGATCAAAAAGTAAATTAAGAGGTGCACAATGGCACTTTGTAACAAAGATTCTTTGAAAGTCTCATTAAATTTCATTCAGTGGTAAAAGAGGAGTTGTGGATAAGAGATGGGTACCCCAAGGTGTAACAGACGGACGGACGGACGGACACCCTCATCACTATATCCCCCCAGCTTTTCAATCGAGGGGTATAAAAAATAATTCCATCGTTTACTTACATTACCAAGTGTTGTAATGTTCAAATTACCCCCCCCCCAACCCCCCCCCCAACCCCAACACACAAAGATTCTTCGCTTATTTTCTTTATCTTTCTTTTAAAAAATTGTATGTCGTAAACATATTAAAGATTATTTTCCGCAGCATTATGTTCATATGACATATAACTACTACTTGCCAGATTCCTTTTTTTTAAAAAATGTATTAAAATAAGACAGGTAAATATAGGGGGAAATAAATACATGTACACTCACCAGTGACACCACTGCAGTAATATGTTGATTCTATACAAAAAGATAATTAAAGGAGAAAAAATAATCTATAACATAGACAATAAGAAAATGAATAAGATACAGGAATTAAGAAAATTGTTGGACCATTCTGTTACTTCTACAATAACAAAGGCTTATTATGTTTTTTTTTTCTTATTTCAGAAAAGCAATTGCTTTATCTATGAATAAATTAAAATTTAATGAAGTAAATGAAACCAAAACAAGATAATAAGATCAAAAGCACTGAATTTTATTGTGTATTTTTTTTCTTTGCTGAGGAAATAACAATATTAAATATTCTTACCTACAAGAATCTCTGAATTTAAAATGAAGACGGAAAATATCGAAAGGACGGAAAACTTGATCTGTATCAGGAAAGAAAATAAAAATGTTACTGCTAACTTATCAGGTTTCAACGAGTATCTGTAAATTCAAAGAGGAATAAATAAATGAAATAAACGGTTTTTAAAGATAATAATAGTAAAGGACACAAAATATATCAACATTTATAAATGGTTTTATTTTTGAAAGTTAATTTACGCATATATGTTTGCAGTTTTATACAATACCTCGTTGAATGTTTGCCAATTATGTATAGTTTTACGGAAAATAGTACTATATCATAATATCGATTGCTGTTTAAAACACAGTCTCGTCAATGCAAAAGGCAATTAAAATGTAAATTCTACGCAGGAAAACCCAAAGAGCTGAAACATTGATTCAATCCAAGTAGGTCATATAGAACTATATGATTTTTGCATTATTTTATTTCTTTTTAGTAATAAAGAAGAAATAAAAATTTAAATTTCCTTTTTCTATTCATCTAATAAAGCTGTATGTGGCATGGCAAAATTAAAGAATTTAAATCATATCCGTATAAACAGGTTGACGCCATTTTATTAATTTTGTCCATGTAATAATCAATTTGTATGCCTGATAAACAAATCCCTTTGTTCGAATCATGATGTACATATTGTAAAGATGCAAAGAATAATCATTAAAACTCAGTTTCTGCATTTACGAGGTGATGTACATACACATATAAACACACACTTACACAGCTATATAAACCAGGAAGTTGACAAAGCGAAACAAAGAGATACACAATGAAAGAAGCTGCAGAATATTGAGCCTTCGCTTACCTCCATTTTGTATTATCCCTTACATCATAAATATATAGGTTCCCCTTCTTTAACTTCTTATTCTTCCGGATCAGATTGTATGTATAACGCTATACGTTATAAATAAACAACAGATCATGTTGCACTTCACAAGGGACCTGAATTTGAAAAAAAAAATATAAATATATAAGGTTTCAAGTCTGTGCATTTAAAACCCAGTTATGAATAAAGAACGTTCATTCTACGCAAAACTGCCGTAATGAATCAATGATCGTAAAAGCTATTCAATAAATCGATGTTTTTTATGGCGTTTTTTTTTAGAATCAATATGCAGACAACAATTGTATCCATGGTACATGTGCAGTTTCAATCATTTTGAAATAAGGAAGTAAAATATCAATTCAGATCAATGCATTTAAAATCCAGCATAGAATAAAGGACTTCAGTTATACGGGAAATTCCCGTTACGGGGAATTCCAGTTATGAATCTGTAGTGTACCATAAAACAGACGGTTTTATAAAAAAAAAAATCAATATGCAGATAATACTTACAACATAGTAATAAGGGTGGATCCAGGACTTAGCGTTTGGTTGGGGCGCCATATGACAAGGGGTTTTGGAACTGCTAGAGATCGCCACAACGTCAAGATCAGTATCCGGAGAGGGGCAGAGAGAGAGAAAAAAACCTGTAAATTCCTGAGAATTTCCTGAGAATCAACTCTCAGAGCTTTATTTTGACACAAAATTGACTGAATTTTACCTTTATTCCATAGAACTATGATGTCACAGTAAATTTTTCATTTGATCTTCAAGCATCAAAGAAGTAGATTTTCATTTGAAGAAAATAATTTGAAAAAGGGTACAATTAAACTTGATTGATGGTATTTATAAAAGTCGTTTCAACAAATCAATACACCCCCAAATCCCCCATATATATATACATAGAGAGAGAGAGAGAGAGAACGCAAAGCCTTTACTGTTTTAATTTACCACATTGTTTACCTGGTGTCCTTTCTGCCTCTCTGGTATATTTTATATCTTTTAGATAAAAACATGATGACTTTGTTGCAGATTTAATACACGAAATATGTTAGAAAGGACAGTTACTCTAGAAACGAAACAAACACATGTATCTCTTATTTTCTGTCCTACAAAAAATTAAATTATTGATTTTTATAATTTCCGAAGACATTTATTTTTTTATGGACGATTAAAGGTTAAGTGAAAGGCAAAATTAAAGAAAGATTAAATAGAAAAAAATCACTAGGTGCAATACAGGATCAAAGGAGGATAAGAATTACCTTTAAGAAGAAGAGCAAAGAGTATTGTATTAACATCTATGTACACTATCTCAACGTTCAAAAGTGTAAAATATTACTGATCCGACAGAACAATTCATAATACAACGAGTGCGGTGTCCTTCAGCTGTAATTTTAATCGAAAAGTGAGCGAAAACTCCATGTTCACAGAAACAACCTTAATGTTGATATATCATGTAACATTAAAATATTTGCACCTTAAAATAAGTGTGTCATAAAGAGAGGGTATTTTAATTTTTAAAAATTGCAAAACATACCAAAATAAAATTCACAGGATGTTTTCAGTTAATAGAAGCAAAGATTTAACTTAATTTAATTCAATATGCGCACAATTGATTTACCAGATGCGTTGGAAGCAGTCAAATTTGATCGTCTAATCACAGAGAGTTTAGAATCTATACTCTCAAAAATCATGTTTAATATGCAAAGTTTCTTTTGGGCATTTCTGCTCTTACTTCGGTTGTTTTAGTGACGGACCAAAAGCCCACTTTAGCTGAAGCATATCAAACACATACAAACTAAGATTTTTTTTTTTTTTTGATAATATAGATTTTTATTTCTCTTGAAGAAGGAAAAAGAACGATTTATTGCATTTCCTGATTGATATCTATGACGGTCAATGGATCTTTGCAGACAGTCTCACACTCGCTCTTGCTTTGGAATAAGTTCTTGGAGTGGGCGTTTGGACAGTCGGACCATAGAAACGGTTCACATTGACCATTACTGCTGTGGTAGAAGTAAAGGACAATGGGAGGTCTAATCCTGGCGACTTTACCACAAAACCTGACAGGGGGAATATCCATGCAATCTGTGAAAAAAAACAGCATTGCTCAAATAAAATACTGTAAACTCCCAGATATCTAATGTATAAAATAAGAAATTATTAAGTAATCTTTCCTCAGACAGTGTGGCCACCGACTTTTTTGGCGCAAGGAAGGGACTATGTTCTAAAAATATTTCACATTTTGGTTATTCATTTTTAATATATATTTCGCTTTTCAATCAAAGCTCTTGCCCTCAAGTAAAACCTAAAATTTCCAAAAAATTTAAAAAATATAACTTTAGAATGTTTACCAATCATCTTAGTTTTATTTATCAACAAATATCTATTAATATATTTTAAATAATAAAGTCAGCCTTAAAAAAAACAGCTTTTTTTCAGTATTAGCCAAGAAATTTTACAGTTTTGTTGTGAAATTATGAAAACTAAAGTTGCATTTCAAAATCTTTTCATTTATCAAAGATCTACCTCTCGAGACTTCAAGAAAAATGTTGAAAACACTGCATTTATAAAGCTTTTAAATCAGCGTAAACAGACTAGCTATAGCATTTATTTTTAAAGAACAGAATAAGCTACGCGTATAAATTCTCAGTGCGACGTCCATGACTGCCAAACGCAATCTTTTGGGAAACGTTCAAACAATATAAAATGAAATTTCTATAACGAAATATATTCAACCAAAAAAAGCCAAAAACAATGCAAAACAAAATTAAAAATAAAATAACAAAGTTAACGAACAGAAAAAAAAAGAAAAGAAAAACAAACAGGTACAAAAACAATCAAAAAATCCCAAAATCCCAAAAACCCAAAATAATAACCAAAAAGAAAAAAAAAAACAATAATTATTAAAAATATCTTAAAAACATGACATAATGACATACCTTTTAAATTATAAGTTATACCCAGATAACATGTCACCAATGATATATTTAGAGTCAGCAGACAACATAGAAACCACTGCATATTGGGCTGTTTTCAGAATTCAGTCTTAAAAACTGCAGTTTGCTTTCCTGTCCATACAATACCAGAGACACCACCTGTTTTTAAATAGTCCTCTTTATGGACGTTAATCATTCCTAACCTTCGGCGATGTTTTAACATCATTGCAAATTTTAGATCATTACTCCCAGCAGATGTTCATCCTCGATAAAGAACTCTATAAATGTTACACAGTTAATATAATCATATTTGTTTCAATGCATTTCTTTAAAATACATATTTTGCAAATAATAATAATGTTATGGTAACATCATTAAATCAATGCCACATTTTATATTCTTTAAATCATTTTCTGTGTGGACAGTTATTCGAGTTGGCATATCTCAAAATCACATTGACAGGTCATTTAAGCTCAGAGTTTGTAAACATTAAATTACTTGCAAAATTTCATTTTCCCGTGTATTTAATATTTTAATTTCCAATCTTTTACTTTTTCTGAAGAAGCAAATAAAGATGTCCTATTTCACACCGATGAAGAGAAAATATATTTCATAAGTTTTTCATATAGCGAAATTTCTGCAAGTGACATACAGATATCTTTAAACATAATTATTCAAATTTTGTTCACATGCCTACGCAGAAAAAGAGTAACAAAAAGTTCAAAATATTATCTCCAATAATACGACGTTTATTGTATGAATATCTTAAGGTTGTTTCAATCTCAGATTAAATAATATTTATGAATGTGAAGTAATTAGTGTGAGTAATCTTTCAGTGTGTTTTGATTATCTGTGTTTTTTGTTCTACATACATGAAATGTGAAGATAACGAACAGTAGTCAAGCTAAAAAGTCCATTAAAATAATATTGGGAGCAGTGAAAATATAGACCTCTGAAAACATCACAGGTGGGATTAGGTGCCATGGAGGAGTAAGAAATACCGGTCGACCTGTCACACCCTTGTCATGATCGGACAAAGGGGGGAAAAATCCGTAGACTAATTAGTGAAAATAATGGCGTAGCAATATGTATACAATAGAGTAGTATTCAGTAAGCATCCCCTGTCGACTGGTCACATAAGTATATCTATATTTTTCTTGGTATTTCAGTTTTTCTTGTTAACTGGCATAAAACTATAACATTCAGGTGCGGATCCAGGGTTTTGAGTTAGGGTAGACACTATTAGGTGGGAAGCCGTCTGGGGACCACAAGCGTCCCTAATGGGTCCAAGACACTATCCCATTTGGTCATCCGAAAGCGACCCCGTAAGCTTTTGAAATTCAGCAAACAGACCACTTTATTTTGACTCAAAATGAGTGTAATTTTACCTTTGATACATCGACGTATGATAGTGAAACTATATTTGAAATATTTTCTTTGGATATATTGGGCGCGGGCGCCGGGAGCCCCCTCCCCCCCCCCCCCTCCCTGCCTGAATCTGCACCTGATATGTTAGAATAGAGTGTAGGTATCCGAGTCGAGATTCTTTTGCTGTGGGTCCATTTCCTCTAATGATCCTATCCCCAACAATGTTTCAATAATAGTCTACTCCGCTAAGTAGGCAAACCTACTTCAAATGATTCTTTATTGTCTGAGATTGTGTACGATTCGATGTGGCAAGTCCACGTAAATATATCAGATTAACGACTGATTTGATATGTATCTGCATTGGTGCTGCTATTTTTGGAATGATTCGAACATTTAAAACTAAGCTTTCTCCATCTTCTGTTTTAAGGTAAATCATTGCTAATTTCAGTTTTTCAGTTTTCTGTCTCCTTTGTCGATTTTGTTCTCCAAATCCAGAAAGATCTATGATTTGGTTTCCATCTGTGCTTAAATTCAATCTGTTGGCAAGAGTTTCTGTGATAAATGAAATCTGTGCGCCCTCGTCTAACAAAATATTGGCCTCTGCACTCTGTTTTCCTGAACTTACTTTTCCGATTGTAGTTTTCAGCATAATATTTAGTGCTCTCTGTGTTAAAAAAGAATGCAAATTGCTTACCTCAGGGTCCTTAATTATTTTGAGACTCCTAGGAGTTGTTTATATTTTCATGCCTGTTGGATATGTCATTCTTATCGCATTAGCTAGTGTGATGACGCTTGTGGCACTCCTTACAATTTCTTGTAGATTTCCATTCCATTAATTTATGGTTCCCAAGACAATTGAAACATAATTTGTTTCGTTTTGTATAGGCCATTCTTGCTGCAGCGCTTTTTTACTTTTTGTGCAGATTACAACTGAGTGTCCAGTTTCTTGAGAAAACCTTTTAATTCTTGTGAGAAATTGAATTCTTCTTTGGTTTCGAATTAGCAGATGGCCTAGCATTTGTCAAGAATATAGCTGTATTAAAAAAGCCATCCACCATCTCTGGTTATCTTCCAACTTCTTTTATGTTAAATTCATTTAATAGCGCATTGAGTAATTTTGTGCCCAGTTGGTTGATGTGTTCTCTCTCGCTAGGTTTTGTCGTACTTGTTCAAGATGACAGGGATGATTAATGAACCATATTGTGTTCTGCCTGGCCAACTTATTTCAGACCTGTACATAAGTTTACGTCTTATCATAGTAGCCACGGAGACTAAGTAAAGTGTTGTTTGAGCTGGAATATCAAACAAAGCTTGCAGCGCTCGCTCCGTGAAATGAAGGTCGTGTGTACGAATCACGACAGCGACTGACCTAAGTTGATAAAAAAAAAAAGGTAGTAAATGTTCGTTCGCCAAGCTCTCGGCACTTTGAAGTGAAAGTTGCAGGTCTTTAAAACCGAGGCCCTGCGTCACGGTAGGCGTTGGCACGATAAAGAAGCCCTACTGCTCAGTTGCCTTGAGTGTCGAGTAAGGTCTAAATTTGAAGCCCTTGACCGTTATATGGTGACGTCTCTATATAAGTGAAAAATTCTTGAACGGGACTTAAAACAGCATTCAATCAATTAATCATTCTAACAAAAGCTTGCATGTATGTTTGAATAATTTTATGGGTTTGACCATACTTTCCTTGCAATGTTGTAACAGCTTTGTTGTAGTTTTTGTTGCTTAATGATGATGAAGGGCTTCATTTTGTAGGAGCGATTTCAAGTACATATTTATTTTTTTTACATCTCTGAGTGTTGCGTTTGCGTGCATAGCAGACTCAAATGAATCCTAAATTGCTTGCCTTTCAAAACTATTAGGAATTGTCTATAGTTTCTTCAACCAAGACCCTCTTCTCTAGATGCCCCCAATCTGACACATTGCAAATGTTTAAGAAAGCCCTTGTACAGACGGAGTATGGACAAATAAATAAATGCTGATATTGATTATAAAGGCGTCTGTCCATTTGCCAATATAGTCTCCCTTTTATACCCGCCGACAAGTCGGTGCACTTAAAAGTTGGTTGTAATTTTGTATTGTATTTGTGTTTCTAAGTATGTCTTGGGTTATTACATTGATATTTAATCATTTATTAACAATTTAAACAAATACAAGATCATTTAGTTATTTTTTTTTATTTATTTATTTATTTATTTATTTTTTTTTTTTTTTTTTTTTTGCATATGGTTATTTTTGGTCTTCATTTCCTGTATTTGATTAAGTTCCGACATTTATAAAGGATTATTGCTGGAGTTGCTACAAAAATATATTTTCTCTTCCAAAATAATATCGAATTTTCTCCAACTAACTTAAAAGTCGGAAACGTAGAGATTTGGACTGAAATTTTATTCCCAAACATTGCATAAGTATTTTCCAAAAATAATGCTAGATGTTTGAATGGGCTTACTTAGCAATATTTGAGGCGCTTCCTCTTAGTCGGTACCTGATGTGTTCATCATCGCACAAACAGGTACTGATACTGGTTGCAGTTTAGTTACCCTTACAAAAATACTATTGTAACTATAGTTAACTTTAGTTTACTATATTTAACTATAGTGATAACGTTGAAACTATGAAAACTATAGTTAACCTATAGTGATAACTTTGACACTTTGATTTACTATAGTGATAATCTGAAACTTTGATTTACTATGGTTAGCTATTATTTACTATAGTATTTTTTTAGGATACTCTCCATGGCATCTTCAGGCTCCTTTGGAAGGACAACATCCTACATAGTATGGGTTTCCTCACTTTTTTTGGGGGGTGGGGGGGGGTGGGGGGTGGGGGGTGGGGGGGGTGGGGGCGCTGGAATTTTGTTCGTCTTTTGTTTTCCAGAGGAGATACAAGATACCAGATTTCTCCCGCGGCATTATTGCTTTATTTCCCGTCCTAACACGTGTACATCAGCTCCAATCCGTGACACTCAACAAATCCAATAATTTATGAAATATTAAAAAAAAACAAAAAAAAGTAAGAAATAAAATGTTAATGAGTAACATATACATCTTAAATATTGGTGACTATACAGGGTTACATTGATAAATGTCGCCTACTTTTCTTAGGTAGACTCCATAGGTCAGAACAAACCTCTGTACATTATCAGATTTATAAGTTTATTTCTGATGTTCATGTATATGAAAAAATTTTTGCAACCAAACACATGTTACAAACTGCTAGCAAATACCATCTCTTGGATGTGTTTGAAAACAATTGTGGCATTATATACAGCAAAAGGAATTTTCAAAAATGATCATCAAAATAATATGGTCAGCAGAGGAAAAACAATGACGTGTTGCTTTGTCTGGAGATCCTGATATGTCTTTTTTCAGTAAAATGCATAAACCCAAATATATTGAGGCAGATAGCTAGAGAGGATCCCTCAAAAAGATTGTTAATCAATTTTTTGATTCAGTTTTCATCGATGAAAACTGTTTCTAAATTTTGTAAATTTTGTAATAAGTTAACATATAACTATAATATGCACTTGAGTTTAAGTGCTTTACATTATTAGACGACAGAGAAACTATGTTTTAGGACATTTTAGATACACTTGATGTAAATGAGTATGTTTTGTTTGAAGATCAAGGTCCTGATTTACAGTTTTGATCATTAATGGGTTGTGTTTAAGGCACAGATTTTAAAAAAAAATATCGTTTACAAAATGAAAGCGTATGATAATCGTTGCCTCAACAGTATATAAAAAACA